TTTGGTAATTTTTTTTTTCTCGGTCGTTTGTTGGGCCATCTTGTTGAAACTAGGGCAATGTATGATGGAAAGATGCTTCTTAACGTACATCACAAATGAAAGAAATTGGACGATAAATAATGGAGTTCACTTCTCAGCCATTAGCCGCCCCTTAGCAGTATATTTTCCTATGATTTTTATGGTTGTATCCTCGTTTTTTTTTGGTATCATTTGATAGAATGGAAAATATGTTACAGAAATAATATGACTTTGATAGGCTTCACAACAAAAAGTAATTTGAAATTGAGCTCAAAATAGCGGAAATGTTTGATTCTTTGCCAATGTTCGAGAGTAAACACTGGCCAGTCTAATATGCAGTCTCAAATGGGTTGATATTTATACAATTATTACAATAATGCAGTAGTCTGCATAACAGTAAATCTTCTATTTTTTGTGTGAATAAAAATTCAAAATGGAAAGCAAAAGTAATATAAGAGGGGCCTGGAGACGTGACTAATGAACAGAGAAAATGTTATTTTAGTGCCAGGAATGTCTGCATTGTTTATTCTGGACCCTATTTTGAAATTGGCATCTTTAGAAATCTGTGTGAAATTGGCCAAATTGCCAATTTCTGACCACTTTATAGGGTAGTTGAAACAGGTGAATGGGCGGTTTCTTGTACTCAGTCGACAGGATAGAAGTAAATAAGTTTACAAGTTTACGCAAGATCTGTTCTTGCAAGAGCTGCATTGAGGTGAAGGTTCAGTGCAACACTTGTATAAACCTTGCTGAACTTAAACAGTACTACAGAAGGAATACTAGGAAAATAGCTACGAGTCTGGTAGACTGGAACAATGGAATGGGCCAAAAATAGGGCATAAATTGGGTAATCTGTCACCCTACAGGTCCCAATGATGCCGGATTAGTGATGGCTGACCTGTATAAGGTCGATTGTCCACAAGTTTTTTTTTTAACATCAGCTGTTTCTCACCAAGGCAGGGTGACCCAAAAGGAAAGGAAAAAAAACTTCATCATTAAACACTTTCACCATCACTCATACATAATCACTGCCTTTGCTGAGGCACTCAGATTCAATAGTTTAGATGTCTCTCCAAACTGCTAATATCCCAAACCCCTCCTTGAAAGTGCAGGCATTGTACTTTCCATTTCCAGGACTCAAATCTGGCTAACCGGTTTCTCTGATTCCCTTCACAAAATATTACCCTGCTCACACTCCAACAGCATGTCAGGTCCCAAAAGCCATTAGTTTCCATTCACTCCTATCTAACATCCTCATGCAGGCTTGCTGGAAGTCTAAGCCCCTCATCCACAAAACATCCTCTACCCCTTGCCTCCAACCTTTTTGAGGACGACTCCTACCCTGCCTTCCTTTCCCTACAGATTTATACAATCTCCAAGTTATTCTGCTTTGTTCCATTCTCTCTAAATAACCAAACTACCTCAGCAACCCCTTTTCAGCCCTCTGACTAATACTTTTAGTAACTCCACACCTCCTCCTAATTTCCACTATGAATTCTCTGCATAATATTTACACCACACATTTTCCTTAGACATGACATCTCCACTGCCTCCAGCCCATGCTTTACACCCATATAAGAGTGGTTTCTTTGTCTCCACAGCTACCTCAATGTCCCAGTCACCTTTTTTTCCTTCATTAATTCTATGGTTAACCTCATTCTTCATAAACCCATCCACTGACAAGTCAACTCCTAAATATCTGAAAACATTCACTTCTTCCATACTCCCTCCAGTGTGATATCCAATTTTTCTTTATCTAAATCATTTGATACCCTCATCACCTTACTCTTATCTATGTTCACTTTCAACTTTCTGCCTTTATACACACTCCCAAACTTGTCCACTAACCTTTGCAACTCTTCTTTGAGATAGTTGATACTAGCTAGTAAAAGATGGTACAAGGAATTGCACAATAGTGTAGTAGGAACATATGCTAGTTAGATATTTGTAATCTGGGAGTAAAGGGAAAATTGGGTAAGATAATAAGAGAATTATAACAGTGCTTTAAGTGGGAATAATTGGTAATACAGATATTATTAAAGAGTAAGTATCTTATTAACAAATAATAAATTGTGAATGGGAGATCTGGGAAGATAACACAAATTGAGTCACACAAGGAACTGTGTGGGACACATGGGATAATGAGGTAGTAAGTACTATCCTGGAGGTGATAGTACAGGGATTAGTTCAATAATGGCATAATAACATACACTAATGTAGTACAAAGATTTGGTCACTAATATCAGTCAGACTTGGAAGGAAGAAAGTTTGCTTGTTCGTTTTCATTTGTAATATAGTACACACGGCCTACATTTGTTTTCCTTACTAGAATTTGTCCATCACGTACAAAGCACTGGTGAATTTTATCATTATTCTCACGTTTCAGTTTTCTCACTCTGTACAGGAGGTTCTGTTGTTTTCTTGAGATACTCATTTATGTATATATCTTTTTTTTTTTTTTTTTTTTTTTTTTTTTTTTTTTTCTTTAATAGATGAACTTGTTAGATCTTTTTTTCTGTTTTGTGTGTGAAATCTAAGCATAACACTTTTTCTCCCTTGGTTCACTAGTAACCGCGATTCTTTTATTTCCGACACTGGCACACTAACATGTAGATGGTCATGTATGATCTGAAGAGTTGTAGCTTTGCAGTTGGCATGGTTTAATTCACTAGGAAAGGGTTGACTGTTAATCACTACTGCATCAGCTAGCTTATCTTGCTCTGTTTTTTCATCTTGGTAAGCAAAATATTTATTCAACTGGGTATCCATGTTGTTTTTGCAGTCCTTGATGGCATCTTCAAACTTGTGTTCAGGGAAGTTATTTGGTCTGTGTGGCTGGCTATGACTGCTTGGAGGGTCTTGCCAAAATCAATCATGCCTGTTGATGTTAGCTGTTGTTCAAGGCTGTTGATCTTATTCTCAAGGTGAACTAACTTAGATTCATGGTTTGTTATTGTTATTCGACGGTTCATATTTTCAGTATGAAGATTCAAGTTATCTGCCGTTAGGGTGGTGATGTATTTCTTTAGAGTGTTAGGATCATTGGTCATACCTGGGAGTGTATCAGATGGGCTAAATCCTATGAAGGCAGTAGAGGTAGAGAGGAAGTCAGTCATGGTTGGGTGAATGTGGTTTTTAAGAAGTCTTGAGTTGTACAGACAGGGTTCCTTTGGTATTCGGTGGTAATGAATTCCAAATTTTTGGGCCCTTTACGTGTATAGTTTTGGTAATCCCACACCTCCTAATCTCCAAACTAGGGATTCTCTGCATTATTTTCACATCACACATTGCCCTCAGACATGACATCTCCACTGCCTTCAGCCTTCTGCTTGTTGCAACATTCACAACCCATGTCTCACATCCATACAAGAGTGTTGGTATAACTATACTCTCATACATTCCCCTCTTTGCTTTCATGGATAAAGTTCTTTGTCTCCACAGACTCCTCAGTGCACCACTCGCCTTTTTCCCCTCATCAATTCTATGATTCGCCTCATCTTTCATAGACCCATCTGCTGACACATCCGCTCCCAAAAATCTGAATACATTCACCTCCTCCATACTCTCTCCCTCCAATCTGATATCCATTCTTTTGTTACCTAATTTTTTTGTTATCCTCATCACTTTACTCTTTCCTATATTCACTTTTAATTTCTTTCCTTTACTTACCCTTCTGAACTCATCAACCAACCTCTGCAATTTCTCTTCAGAATCTCCCAAAAGCACAGTGTCATCAGCAAAGAGCAACTGTGACAACTCCCACTCTGTGTTAGATTCTTTATCTTTTAACCCCACACATCTTGCCAACACCCGAGCATTCACTTCTCTTACAACTCCATATATAAATATATTGAACAACCATGGTGACATCATGCATCCCTGTCTAAGGCCTACTTTTTCTGGCAAATAATCTCCCTCTTGCCTACATATTCTAACCTGAGCCTCACTATCCTCGTAAAAACTTTTCACCACTTTCAATAACCTACCTCCTATTCCATACATGTGCAACATCTGCCACATTTACCCCCTATCCATCCTATCATATGCTTTTTCTAAATCCATAAATGCCACAAATATCTCTTTACCCTTATCTAAACACTTTTCACTTGTATGTTTCACTGCAAACACTTGGTCTACAGCCCCCTATCCTTCCTAAAGCCTCCTTGTTCATCTGATATCCTGGTTTCCATCTTACTCTTAATTCTTTCAATAATAACTCTGCTGTACATTTTACCAAGTATACTTAACAGACTTATTCCCCTATAATTTTTACACTCTTTTGTCCCCTTTGCCTTTATACACAGGAACTATGCTTGCTTTCTGCCAATCCCTAGGTACATTACCCTCTTTCATACATTAAATAAAAACACTAACCACTCCAAAATTATATCCCCACCTGCTTATAACATAATCTTTATCCCATCAGTCCTAGCTGCTTTACCCCATTTCATTCTACTACTATCTGCCCCACACACTTCCCCCACACTCACAACTGGCTCTTCCTCACTCCTATAAGATGTTATTCCTCCTTGCCCTGTACACAAAATCACAGCTTCCCTATCTTCATCAACATTTAACATTTCCTCAAAATATTCCCTCCATCTTCCCGATACCTCTAATTCTCCATTTAATAACTCTCCTCTCCTATTTTTAACTAACAAACCCATTCTTTCTCTAGGCTTTCTCAACTTATTAATCTCACTCCAGAACTTTTTCTTATTTTCAACAAAATTTGTTGATAACATCTCACCCACCCTACTTGAGTAAATACAATATGACCAGATTTTTTTAAGGGTAAAACTTTGTCAAGTACAACTTCAGATATTTAGTTTTTTCTAAGTAAATGTCACATATATCTACAAAAAAGAAACTTTAACTCCTTTGCTTTATGGGAGCTAGGATTAGAATTCTAAAATTTGATTTTGAACTCTAGTGGAAGTAGTTGATAATGGATACATTGTTAATGATTTTTTGTGTTCTAGACTGGCATACATGGAGCGTCTCAATCAGTGGATGAGTTGGCATCAATTGATGCAGGAAATGATAATTCACTATCGAGGACAAGTAATCAAACAGCTTTATGTGCTTGTCCTTGGCCTTGATGTCATTGGCAACCCATTTGGTCTGGTGGTGGGCCTAACAAAAGGAGTTGAAGATTTATTTTATGAACCTATACAGGTGAGTACTTCCATGACCTCCTTTTTTTGTAGCCAAGGCTTTTAGTGGTCTGTTTTCTTGTATTGAATTACAGTATTTTCAGGTAATTATGAATACGGTAGTAAAATTTGTCTATGTAAATGTTTGCTCCTCCCAGAAGCTTCTGCTTTCTGAATGTACTATTGCCCTGTTGTATTGTATATGAAGCCTCCATCACAGATTAGACATACTAAGTGGATGCCATTTTTATAAAACTTTTTTTTTACGCTTGTGATGAATACAAATGTGAAAAATGCCTCTTTGAGACAAGTATGGTGGAACCTCAGTTTTCATAATTAATTTGTTCCTGAAAGTCTGATGAAAATCGAATTGTTCGAAAACTGAAGCAATATTTCCCATGAGAAATAATGTAAATTCAATTAATCCATTCCAGACACCCAAAAATATTAACAAAAAATACATTTTATAGAGAATAACAATAGTTTTACATACAGAAAACAATGAGAAATAAATATAAATGACTAATAAAATGGATAAATGAACATTTAACATCAATTTTACCTTTATTGAAGACTTGTTGGCATATGGAAGACAGTGAGGAGGGGAGAGGGAGGAGGAGAGGTTATTGTTTGGAAGGGGAATTCCCCTCCATAAGGACTTCAGGTATCGAGGCCCTATCCAGGATTACTTCCCTTCTTTGTCTTTTACTGGCACTAGGACCAGCTTGAGAGTCACTGGACCCCTGTCGCACAAAAAATCTGTCCAGAGAGGTCTGTTTCTGGCGTCTCTTTAAGATTTGCCTAAAATGGGACAAGGCATGTTCATTGAACATTGATGCAGACTTCCCGTACATCCTGGCCAGATCAGCCATGCGTATGCCACTTTCGTACTTCGCTATGAGTTCTTTCTTGAATTCTATCGTGTTTCTCGCCTTCTATATCAAAGGGCTGACACTCGGAACTTTCTTTGGCCCCATGGTGACTTATTTAGCAGTCACACCCAATAAACAAGTGGGGGGAAATAAATGGGATTAAATCTGGAGTATCTGAGAGAGTTAGAGCAAAGGAAGGGGTAGCAGTAATGTTAAATGATCAGTTATGGAAGGAGAAAAGAGAATATGAATGTGTAAATTCAAGAATTATGTGGATTAAAGTAAAGGTTGGATGCGAGAAGTGGGTCATAATAAGCGTGTATGCACCTGGAGAAGAGAGGAATGCAGAGGAGAGAGAGAGATTTTGGGGGATGTTAAGTGAATGTATAGGAGCCTTTGAACCAAGTGAGAGAGTAATTGTGGTAGGGGACCTGAATGCTAAAGTAGGAGAAACTTTTAGAGAGGGTGTGGTAGGTAAGTTTGGGGTGCCAGGTGTAAATGATAATGGGAGCCCTTTGATTGAACTTTGTATAGAAAGGGGTTTAGTTATAGGTAATACATATTTTAAGAAAAAGAGGATAAATAAGTATACAAGATATGATGTAGGGCGAAATGACAGTAGTTTGTTGGATTATGTATTGGTAGATAAAAGACTGTTGAGTAGACTTCAGGATGTACATGTTTATAGAGGGGCCACAGATATATCAGATCACTTTCTAGTTGTAGCTACACTGAGAGTAAAAGGTAGATGGGATACAAGGAGAATAGAAGCATCAGGGAAGAGAGAGGTGAAGGTTTATAAAACTAAAAGAGGAGGCAGTTAGGGTAAGATATAAACAGCTATTGGAGGATAGATGGGCTAATGAGAGCATAGGCAATGGGGTCGAAGAGGTATGGGGTAGGTTTAAAAATGTAGTGTTAGAGTGTTCAGCAGAAGTTTGTGGTTACAGGAAAGTGGGTGCGGAAGGGAAGAGGAGCGATTGGTGAATGATGATGTAAAGAGAGTAGTAAGGGAGAAAAGTTAGCATATGAGAAGTTTTTACAAAGTAGAAGTGAGCAAGGAGGGAAGAGTATATGGAGAAAAAGAGAGAGGTTAAGAGAGTGGTGAAGCAATGTAAAAAGAGAGAAATGAGAGAGTGGGTGAGATGTTATCAACAAATTTTGTTGAAAATAAGAAAAAGTTTTGGAGTGAGATTAACAAGTTAAGAAAGCCTAGAGAACAAATGGATTTGTCAGTTAAAAATAGGAGAGGAGAGTTATTAAATGGAGAGTTAGAGGTATTGGGAAGATGGAGGGAATATTTTGAGGAATTGTTAAATGTTGATGAAGATAGGGAAGCTGTGATTTCGTGTATAGGGCAAGGAGGAATAACATCTTGTAGGAGTGAGGAAGAGCCAGTTGTGAGTGTGGGGGAAGTTCGTGAGGCAGTAGGTAAAATGAAATGGGGTAAGGCAGCCGGGATTGATGGGATAAAGATAGAAATGTTAAAAGCAGGTGGGGATATAGTTTTGGAGTGGTTGGTGCAATTATTTAATAAATGTATGGAAGAGGGTAAGGTACCTAGGGATTGGCAGAGAGCATGCATAGTTCCTTTGTATAAAGGCAAGGGGATAAAGAGAGTGAAAAAAATTATAGGGGGATAAGTCTGCTGAGTATACCTGGTAAAGTGTATGGTAGAGTTATTATTGAAAGAATTAAGAGTAAGACGGAGAAGAGGATAGCAGATGAACAAGGAGGCTTTAGGAAAGGTAGGGGGTGTGTGGACCAGGTGTTTACAGTGAAACATATAAGTGAACAGTATTTAGATAAGGCTAAAGAGGTCTTTGTGGCATTTATGGATTTGGAAAAGGCATATGACAGGGTGGATAGGGGGGCAATGTGGCAGATGTTGCAAGTGTATGGTGTAGGAGGTAGGTTACTGAAAGCAGTGAAGAGTTTTTACGAGGAGAGTGAGGCTCAAGTTAGAGTATGTAGGAAAGAGGGAAATTTTTTCCAGTAAAAGTAGGCCTTAGACAAGGATGTGTGATGTCACCGTGGTTGTTTAATATATTTTTAGATGGGGTTGTAAGAGAAGTAAATGCGAGGGTCTTGACAAGAGGCGTGGAGTTAAAAGATAAAGAATCACACACAAAGTGGGAGTTGTCACAGCTGCTCTTTGCTGATGACACTCTGCTCTTGGGAGATTCTGAAGAGAAGTTGCAGAGATTGGTGGATGAATTTGTAGGGTGTGTAAAAAAAGAAAATTAAAGGTGAATACAGGAAAGAGTAAGGTTATGAGGATAACAAAAAGATTAGGTGATGAAAGATTGAATATCAGATTGGAGGGAGAGAGTATGGAGGAGGTGAATGTATTCAGATATTTGGGAGTGGACGTGTCAGCGGATGGGTCTATGAAAGATGAGGTGAATCATAGAATTGATGAGGAAAAAGAGTGAGTGGTGCACTTAGGAGTCTGTGGAGACAAAGAACTTAGTCCTTGGAGGCAAAGAGGGGAAGTATGAGAATATAGTTTTACCAACGCTCTTATATGGGTGTGAAGCATGGGTGATGAATGTTGCAGCGAGGAGAAGGCTGGAGGCAGTGGAGATGTCATGTCTGAGGGCAATGTGTGGTGTGAATATAATGCAGAGAATTCGTAGTTTGGAAGTTAGGAGGAGGTGCGGATTACCAAAACTGTTGTCAGAGGGCTGAGGAAGGGTTGTTGAGGTGGTTCGGACATGTAGAGAGAATGGAGCGAAACAGAATGACTTCAAGAGTGTATCAGTCTGTAGTGGAAGGAAGGCGGGGGTAGGGGTTCAGCCTAGGAAAGGTTGGAGAGAGGGGGTAAAGGAGGTTTTGTGCGCGAGGGGCTTGGACTTCCAGCAGGTATGCATGAGCGTGTTTGATAGGATGTGAATGGAGACAAATGGTTTTTAATACTTGACGTGCTGTTGGAGTGTGAGCAAAGTAACATTTATGAAGGGGTTCAGGGAAACCGGCAGGCCGGACTTGAATCCTGGAGATGGGAATACAGTGCCTGCACTCTGAAGGAGGGGTGTTAATGTTGCAGTTTAAAAACTGTAGTGTAAAGCACCCTTCTGGCAAGATAGTGATGGAGTGAATGATGGTGAAAGTTTTTCTTTTTCGGGCCACCCTGCCTTGGTGGGAATCGGCCAGTGTGATAATAAATATAAATAAAAAAAAAAAAAAATGGATTATTACAAAATGTTTCGGATGAACACGTGGGGTAATGCTCACTCAACGAGAAATGAAGCCAGACAGAGTCAAAATGCATGGGATGCTTTGTGTGGGCGCAGGCAGGTGGATGCATTTGGTATGCCGGACCATTGTCAACTCTGTGAAAACTGAGCAGATGTACGAAAACTGGGACAAAATTTCGACGAAAAAAGTCGTCGAAAACCAAATCCTATGAAAACCAGGGCATACAGAAACTGAGGTTCCACTGTATTTGCAAGTGAGGAAAAATTAGATGAACCTGGTGTGAAAGGGATTAACCCTTCCATTGTTTGTGCCATGTAGATACGTCTTACGAGCCAGCATTGGTGACGTATTAATACACCAAAATTCTAGCAGCTTCAAGTCTAGCAGGAGAAAGCTGGTAGGCCTACATGTGAGAGAATGGGTCTGTGTGGTCAGTGTGCGCAGTATGAAAAAAATCGGGACACCTGCATTGCATTGTGGGAACGCCATTTCAGTAGTCCATGTTTACCATGCCTCACAGTAAGAAATATCTCACTCCTCGGCAAATCAGGACTCTTCTGTTCCCAAGTGATAGCTCTATCACAGATGGAAGTGTCAGTGAAGATGAATTTCATGGTTTTTGAGAAGTTTGTGACCAAAAGCCATGCCCAGCATAACGGAAATAGTGCTGAAAACCCAGACAACCCTCAACTTTTCACCTTTGGTGCTGGCCGTCTCATTCACATTCAGTTGCACCAGTTGTCCCTGTGCCCAGGACTCAGATGTGAGCAGTGATAATGATAGTGATTGTGATTTCCAAGCTCATGATTGCAATTCCAATAGCGACAGTGAGGAGGAATTTTCTCGAGTGAATTTTCAATATATACGACGCTACCTGCGTTCTGATAGTGTGCCGTATGCTATTCCAAGGGGAAGGAGTGCATCTCTGAGTACACCTCGTGACCCTACA